GCGTTTGGGGCGGGGTCGGGCTGGCTGACCCTGGGCTGTGGAGGGACCAAGAGGGAGCAGGGCTGCCTCCGAAGCAGGAGGAGGTCGGTGGGGAGCGGAGGAAAGGACCGCCTTGGGTCCTTTTGGGGAGAGCATTTTAAATAAAATAAAGGCGGGTCAATAGCGCACGCAGTAGTGGTGAAGGCTGCCTCAGGGCACAGAGGCGCGAAACGGAGGGTTTTTTTTTTATTTTTTTGCAGGGCCGGGGAAGAAAGCAAGCAGACTTATTCTTGGGTTGCTTCCTTAGTAGGACTGAAAGAATGCCATCCTTTGAGGATATTTTCGCCTCATTTGACGGATGCCGTAAAAGTGACTGGGAGAAAAAGGTGTTACTAGGCAGAGGCTGGCCTTCCCATTAGGCAGGGTGAGGTAGCTGATTTGGGGGTACAGCTGAAGAGCAACAGGGGATACCTGTGTGATTTGTTATTTTTACTGACAGGAATCCTGAGAAGCTCTTGTGATGGTGGTGCTTTGCTTTGCGCCTCTGGTGCCAAAGCAAGTCTCTTGACCTTGGGCTTTCCTAGAGGCGCACATCATCTGTCCCACCTCAGGGAGCGAAATGTTTGGGGGCGACCCTGCTAGAAGGCTTGCTTTGCCCCAGGTGGGTCAAGCCGAGGCAGAGATGCCCTTCATTTTAGGAGTTACTCCACGAGGTAGAGCGGGCCGGGCCGGCGAGTCTGCTCCATATGGGTGGGTTCCGTGCTGGCTTCAACAATCTAAACATTATTCTGGAAACCAGCCCTGTAAAGCTGTGAGAAGTCGGTTTCCAAAGAAAGAACTAAATTCTACCTTTTAAATAAGAACGCATTCTGCTTAAAAACAAAAGCAGAGGCTGCAGTCTCACCCCACGCCAGCCAGCGTTGCACGTTTTCACCTGTCACATTTCACCACTGACATGAGCTCAGAGTAGATTTCTCAAAATCGCGATCACCCTTCCAAGGAAACATCCACAAGGTTGTGCTATGGGCTGATCTGCGGCTGTTATCGGGATTTAATTGAATATCGACATCCCCCCTCAAGTTGCTGTGACTGCGAGCATAGGATAGTTAAAGGGAGTCAGATCCACTGATTCTGTATATTCTGCATACATGCCAGATTGTGTGTCGACGTTGCTCGGTCCTTCAAGCGCCGAAGGGCTTGATGTGTTCTTGTTTCCGGGATCTAAAAATCTCTGGTTCTTTATGCCGGTAATCTAAGGTGTAAAGTGTTTCCAGTGGATTCCTACAGAAATCAAAGGAGAAATTAAGCTCCAATATGGGCAAGGCAATTTATGAAGGGGGGGTAAATAGGTAGGAGAAGAGAGCTGAGCCCCGGCTTGGTAGGGAGTGATATCGCCGGGGGGGGGGATCCTTCTAAGCTGCCTCGACTGGAAGGGCCCTATGGGTGGGGGAGGCGCGGACCCCTTCCTGCAAGCGCACCTCTCCCGATCGGACTGAAGCGCTGCCTTCTGCTTCCTTTCTCTCCCCACAGGTTTGAGTCCTTCGTTGGCATGGCTTGCTGCCTCCCGACCCCGGACAGCAAAGCCCTCAGCTTCTTGCAAGAGTCCGCCCAGCTGCTCTCGCAGCCGCGGGCCACCAGCTTGAACGCCGGAGGCGCGGACCCCTTCCTGCAAGCGCACCTCTCCCGATCGGACTGAAGCGCTGCCTTCTGCTTCCTTTCTCTCCCCACAGGTTTGAGTCCTTCGTTGGCATGGCTTGCTGCCTCCCGACCCCGGACAGCAAAGCCCTCAGCTTCTTGCAAGAGTCCGCCCAGCTGCTCTCGCAGCCGCGGGCCACCAGCTTGAACGCCGGGCGGCCGCCGTCGTGGCAAGCCGGCGGGGCGGCCCAGCGCCCTAAGCACAACACTGCCACAGCGCCCCGAAGCGGCAGCTCGCCCGGCGTTGCCGTGGCCTCTTTCGCTCCCTTGGACGCCCTGAGCCTCATCAGCCTCCACTGCTCCAGCCTCGAGTTAGATCCCGCCGCGCGGATCGCGCCTGCAGAGGTCGGGGGGCCCGCGCCGGCTCCCGAGGGACCCCGCCTGGCCCTCTCCAAAGACTGCCGGGGGGATCTTCCGCTGAGAGCGCCTGGCCGAAAGCCCGTGGAGGCGCCGGCGCCCTTGCCGCCCGGGACTGGCGCTCCGCGCAAGCAGGAGCCTCGGAAGTGCGGCGGGAGAGTTTCCCGAAAGCAGCCGAGACCCAGGCGGAGCTGTGAGTCCCGCGACCCGGCCTTCCAAGGCGTCACCTTCCAACTGCAGCTGAGTCTCTGCCACAGCAGCGTCCCGGGCTGCCGGCTCCTCATTCGCCACCGCTACAGCAGGTATATTAGCGGCAGGAGGCAGCAGTGGGCGCTTCAAGAAAGCCATGCCCATGCCCAGCGGGTTCCCAACCGCTCCGCCAGCAAAATCTGTTCTAGGGGACTAACGCAGCGTCTCTCTTTCCCTCTGCTCTGCCAACTTGCCTGGCACATATGTTGCCCGCTTGTTTTGTACCCTGGAGGTGGGTCAAGGCGCAACTCCGGGAGAGGGTTGGAAGCCCCTGACTCTGATCGGGGATTAAACTCTTATTTATTTATACCCCGCCCATCTAGACCAAAGTCTACTCTAGGCGGCTAACAACAATCCATAAAATAATAACAATAAAAAATAAAGCAATATTAATATAATTCAAGATAGCAAAAAATAGATTAGGTGATGACCGGAGGGAAGGCCTAGCCTAAAAGCTAGGTCTTAAGTTTGCTCTTAAAAGCACCCAGCCAGGGAGCCTAACAAATTTCTGAAGGCAGACTGTTCCAGAGGCGAGGGGCCACTGCAGAGAAGGCCCAGTTTCTTGTTCATTCTCTCCAGGCCTCCCTTGACGTTAAGCTCCTCAGCCACCCTTCCTGGCTAGAACAAGTGATTTGGGCAGATCTAGGTGGGAGGAAGCGTTCTGCTAGATATCGAGGTCCTAAACCCTTTAGGGCTGTATATGTCATAGTTAATACTTTGAAATCAATGCGGAAACAAATGGGCAGCCCATCCTTGTTCCCGTCTTGGTGTCCCAGAACCCAGAAACTGCATTTAATCCTTTTTTTAAAAAAAATAAATAAATGTGAGGGATTAGACAGAAAATGGATTATTTCAGGGCCAGCTCAAGACATTTAGCCGTCTGAAGGGAAAGACAAGAGGGTGCCCCTCTCATTACTGTGAACCAAAGTGGGCCAGCCTTGCAGCTGATCTTTCCTCAACTCCCAATGATGGGATGGCCTTTTCTTGAGGGGTTGCAGGGTATGCAGAGCACCTGGTTGGCTGGAGTTGCCCGAATTGGTTTTAAGGGGGCAAGGCCCTCAAGAATGGCAGGCAGGGGCATAAAGCGCTTTGCCTACTGTGTTTTTACATCAGTTTATTTACCAGGCCAAACAAATAAATAATGTGCCATATTTTATTTATTTATTCATTTTTGTTAAATTTGGGATTTATATTCCAAAATTAATTAAAGCACAAAATAAAGGAAAGGGAAACATGTATTAATCTGTATTGAGTGAGTGACTGTAAGGTCTCTTTAAACACCTTCTCGTCTAGCACAACTATCTTAAGAGGAAAAAAAAATATATGGTGCCCTTGTGGGTATGTTGGCAACAAACCCTGGTCTGGTCATTTCTTCCATACCTGTGCCAAAGATTTGCATAGTATTTGCAGTGTTTTGGGCCAGATGCTGTATTTGCAAAAGGCAGCCTGAATGTTGCTATAGGTTATGAAAAAGAAGTGCAGGTGGTCTGGAACATTCACAGACTCTCTCCTCTCTTCTATATATGTCATTTTCACACTTGAGGAAGCAAATCTTAGGGATTTGGCAAAAATCTAGAGATTTGACATAGGAGTCGTTGTCTTCTTCTTTTTTTATCCTATGAAGCCACCTGCATGTTTTAGTACACACCTAGTCTGGTGGCATAAAACTGTGGTTTGTGGCCCCAAATAAAGCCAACCTGGCACCATCCTAAGTCCTGGAATGTTTTAACCATGACAGCAGCATTTTCCGCCCCCAGTCAGATTGAGAAAGGACTATTTTTAGGACACATTTGAGACAACATTTCTGGGAGGATTCAGGTACAACAGGCATTTTATTGCAATATTGCCAGATCATTTGAAAAGAGTGGGGGATTTAAGCTCCTCTGTTTTGGGGTCTGTGCACATGCAATCTAGGTTGCAGCTTCCTGCCTCTTAGCATTTTCACTCTGCTAATGGTAGGACCAAGCTGGCTGGATCTCTCAATGGTTTAAGTATCTGGCTGTGGAGCCAGAGGTTGGGAGTTGGATTCCCCACAGTGTCTCCTGGAAGAAAAGCCAGCCTGTGTGGCCTTGGGCAAGCTGCACAATCCCAGATGTTCCTCCAGAAAAAGGGAAGAGTAAACCACTTCTGTGTATTCTCTACTTAGGAAACCCTTAAAAGGGTTGCCATAAGTCAGAATTGACTTGACAGCACATTATTATTGTTATTATTAATGGTAGGACCAGCCCTGGATTTCCTGTCACTTTGCCTAGGGGGCAACTATGCTGTTCAGCCATTTCAGGCCTACAATTCCAACCAGTTTGAGCCACCATAGCAAATGATGAAGAATAATGGGTGCTGTGGTGTTTTTTTTTTAAACATCTAGAGGGCCTCAGTTACCCACTGCTGTTCTAGGCTTATAATGTACAAGGAAACAGTCCACAAGCCAATAGCATTAAATCAGTACAGTTCTAATTTCTGCAGATACTATTTATTTTCCTGTCTAATTTCCATCTTCCATCCTCACAAAACATGTAGCAAACAATGAAATGTTCATTTGATCTTTAAAATTTTAAAATTGTTCTTAATCTGTTCTCCTTGTGGCATCTTCTGAACCAGAGGAAGTGAGGTAGGCTTGTAGAGAATGGGATATGTGCTGTAAAAGTGGCTTAGAAGTGGACTGCCTTCTACTATGTTATCTTCACACCAGCACATTCCCAGCTCCATTGATTTCCTTCCAGAGATTTTGAGCCTTTTAAAAAAATGTAAATGATTCAGGGCTTGGGTATGTTTGGCCACCCGATGTTTCGGGCTTCAATTCTCAGTAATAATGACAACTACGTATGCTTCAGCATGTTACGAAGGCCAAAGATTCCCCAGCCCTGCGGTGGATCATGTGTGGCAGATTTCAGAGGTATGAAAAGACAGTGGAAGCAACCCCCAGATGTTCTTATTACTTGGAGGGCTGAACTTTTATTTCAAGGCAAACCATCCCGCACACCCTAAGCTTCTCTCAGGTAAGGTGAATGATGATGTTGCATCAGCAATGATAAAGTAAGTTTCCATTATGTACTTTTTTTTAAGTTCAGAAAGTGGAACTGGAAGAGCGTCTGATGCCGCAGAATAAAGAAACTGATTGGACTAGCTATTTCACTGCTAGAGGGAGAGTGTTCACCATCCCTGAGGCTAGTTTATGGAAGGCAGAACAAATTGTGTGGCATGTACACTCTGTCCCTAAAACACAGGCAAAAGTGCCAGGGAGAGGGCTCATGAGAGGCCACCAGGAGGTTGCCCCTGCTGCCCCTTTTCCAATGTCTCTCCCCTGAAGCCTTTGCCTCACTCTCATTAATAGTAGGTCCAGTCCTGTCTGGGACACTTTTCTTATTTTCATGAATTGGCTAGGGTATAAAATGTAATAAAAATAGTTGGGAAATCAGATTTTTAAAAGAGATCTAAAATACTGCACATCTAATCTGTATCCAGTGGAAAACTTAGGAAAAGAAGCCGAACTCCTTCAGTAAAAGAAGAAGACAAACCGGGCACTTCTGAGGAGGAAGATGGATGTCCTTCTGCCCACAGTATGTTCAGTTTTATTAAACATCAAATACTTGTAACAGTAACCAGTAAAATGTGAGTTTCTAAAGTCACAAATTTATGATGTGATCAACTCAATTCCCCCCCCCCGATAAGAAGGGACCCATTAGCTGCAAGAACAAAGTAAAACCATTCAACCCAAGGATCAAAACCAATAAGGATGAGGAATATTTGATTCCAGATATTTAGCATGACTCTTACCATTGGTCATGTTGGCCGTAGCTTCACAGAGCTGATACTGCAAACACAAGGACGGTCCAAGGTTCCCCCATCCTCCTAGAACTGATTAGGCAAGAAGGTGTTCGATTGCTCTGCAGCCACCTGTACTGTCATCAACTCATGCTATTGCGCTATCTATGTGATGATTTTTGAAAGCCAAGCCTGAATGTTGCCGAGATAGAGTAGGGGAAGCTCAGATATATGATTACACATTGATTAGGTAGTCATTGCCGGGTCTAGCACTGAAGAAAACTGGTGACACAGATGTCAGTGGCATGGGATTAGGATGGAAAGGCTCAGCTGCACAATATCCTGAAGTTAGTCACTGAATAACTCGTTCTTCCACTCACTTGTTCTGACATTTATTTTCAAAGCTACTAAATTCAACCCATTTTATTATCAAAAGTAAATGTTTGAAATGTTTGTGACAACAAGATATCTCCTAAATATCCAAACGTGCCTTCAAAAAACTAGTTGGTGGGATGAAAAGTAAGTACTGTACTTTACATTTTAGTTTAGAGATGGAAATGCAACAGACACCGGGAAGAAACTAGAAGAGAGCGGAGGTGGGGTTGAAGATGTAATGCTTTCAGCAAATCTAATTCTTCTCAATTGTTCAGGCGTATTGTTTGACCCTATTGCCTTTTGCATTCAAGGGAATAAGCGCTGTGCTTCTTGCAAGACAAGGAAAACTCCACTGTGGAGAGATGCTGAAGATGGAACTCCCCTTTGTAACGCCTGTGGCATTCGGTATCTAACATTATGTCACTGTTGAAACACTGTAGAATGGCTGACAAAGCAAGGCCTGAACTGAGTTTCAGGCATAATGGGGGGGGGGGAGCGGCAGGGGAAGGATTCCAAAGGATTTGGGTAGGGCCAAAGGCAAAAGAGTAGGGCCCACTATAATAGCCGATTAAAGCCTCTGTTGTGAGAAACTAAAGCTTTAAGGGAGTCATTTCCCTCTTTTGAATGGGGTGCAAATTGGTACAAGAACTAGAAAACCACAGCAGGGTGGTGGTGTTCTGGGGAAAGGAGTGTGGACTTCTGGGTCCTTCACCCCCTATGTGCATGGAGTATCCTAGGATTCATATCCTGAGGGCTCACAGTGTACACCCCATGATAGAGGCCTGTCCATCCTAAAGCATCCAAAGGGTTATGGGGAACCAGATGTAATGAGCTACTTAATTGTGGGTTACCACTGCATAGCACAAACTGCTAGAACCTCCCTGCCTTTGTATGTTGGTACCCAACATCAAAGCAAAATTGATTATAATATGTGTCACCACCACCACTAATTCTTCAGCTTTTTGTTTTTGTTGCTGGGATACTCAGCCTGCTGTGCAGAGCAAGGGGAAAATCCCTTCCTTTTCCCCCACCTGACATTCCATGCTCCTGGACAGAAAATATTGAGAGAGACTATGTCCCACTTAAATGCTACTTGGAATGAGTTATTGGATTAGCAGGCTGCTGCTACTAACACAGAGACCAGAGCAGGAGTGGGAGGTTACTTCTACTTAACATGCATCATATTATAGTGACCCAATGAATGGAACTATCAACCATATGACTTAACCAACTAAGAAGAACTCTTTTTCCCCAGGTATAAAAAGTACAGAATTCGGTGTTTTCGGTGCTGGAATATTCCAAAGCATGGTGGGAAACCCTACTCACATTGTTCCAATTGTGGAGGAAGATTGCACGTAGTCACCACCCAGCAAAAATCTGGAAAAAGGTAACTATGGATGGAACGGGGATTCTGACTTCATCCTGAGAATGTTTCCTGTGGTGGGAGAAATATTTACTCTCAGATGAAGCTAATTTGTTGAGCCGTATCAAAGGAAGCCACCAGGGCTGTCCAGAGTGGCAGGAGGGCAACGGGTATAATTTGTTCTGGACCAACACAAAGCAATAGCCCCCTTCTTCATCCATTTGTATACCATTTGCCCCTGCTCCATTTCTGCCCCATTGTTCACTATCCCCTACATGAAGGGGGTGCCCTTCTAGGTAGCCAAAATGGCTCCTCCTATCCTGTCAGTGCCAGGTCCCGTAAACTCTCTCAGCTGCCCCCAGAAATCGTACAATTGTAAGTACTCTACTGTATATTGTGAAAGGAATGATAAACTGTTTTATCTGAGTAGACTTTGTTCTGCCTCATGACTAAAAACAGGCGGGTAGGCAGGTGGGAGGCAAACACCTGTGGGATAAAAGTATGGCCTCTACAGCCTACATTATCAGCCTACCTGATAAAATGTAACCTCGCAATGGCGCTTGTCTAGAGGGGCAAACACCTGTGGGATAAAAGAAATAATAAATAAACCTACATTGCCCACCTTTTTTATGTTTTCAAAACGTTTCCCACAGTACCATGTCATCTTGTTAGCCCTTTATAGCCCATAATGGCCATAATGAATCAGACCAGTCTATTCTATGATCCTCTTGTAGTTTCCCACCAGTTTAATCCTCAAGGTTTCTCCAGAGCATCCTGGAAGTTATAGGGCAGAAAAGTTCCACAAGCTGCCAATTAGATTTTTTTTTTTTTTTTTTTGCAGTAGAAGGGTGGGGGTAAGTGGCTGAAGAGAGAAGACTCTCATTTGGGTCATACCTTTATTTGGTCACTGAAAAGTTCTAAATAAGGCCAGCTTTTGAGTATTCCAGAGCTCTCTTTGAGGCACAGATATTAAAAAAAAAACTCAGTGGACCAGAAAAGAAGCAATGGCTGTTGCTCTTGAAGGCAGACTGGCAGGAGAGAGAATTACAGATTCAGTGTAAAATGAAAGTCTCAGAGTTATACTGGTTTTCATTCTTTTCTCTCCCTGTAGACAATGGGAGGGCAACGTGCAGTCCTTGAACTCTGTGCAGCTGCCCCAGGTGCATTTTGTATTGCCTAGCATTATATATATATGCCTAGCATTATATATATATATAGGCCACTAAAAGGTCCAAAAGGGCTTCTTCTGGGAGGAAAAAGAGACTTATTTCTCACTTAAGAACCTCCCGCTGTATCACTCTCTTTGGTCAAACCTTTAGCCTTGCCCCTTGAGCTACCTGCAAATGTGAAGACTTGCCCAGCTGAAATAGCCAGTCCCCCCCCCCAGACCAAAGCTTGGCAAGGCACACAGCCTCATTCTGATTGGCCATTGGGAAATAAGCAAGGGACTCATGTGCAAGTTGATGGCATAGACATAAAGGCTTTGAATCAAGGCACACAGGGAGGAACAATGCTTTATCGCCTTCTAGCTGCAAAAGCTAGTGTTTGTTTCTGTCTGTAGTTAGGTGACAGTATTGGTAATTCTCTGACAAGAGTGCCCTGTTCTTTTCATGAAACCATTGTTTCTTGGTTCATCAGAGGGAAAGAAAAGAAATACTGAATTATTCTAAGAGACTGTAGTTATGTGTGAAATGCACCAGTCACTACCAAGAGACGTCATCAATTGAAGAAAAGCCAGTGCTGGAGCAGTGCCAATGTAAGAGGTTCTTTTCTTTTCTAGATGTGCAACATCCTAAAGTTTTGCAATGAACTGGATGCCAAAACAGCTCTTGGCAAATCTGACCAACATGCCTGACTGAAGGGTCCTCAAGGACAGCAAGGTGGAGGGTTGATTTGTTTACCGACCAAGATTCATTGGATGCAGGGTTTGTCTTTTTGTTTGTTTCTTTGTGTAGCTGTTTGTTCCTTGCTGACTGCTCATCTTCTTTGAATTTGCAGTTATGCCATATGTTGGGTGTTTGTTCTTTGTGTGTGTGTGTGTGTGTGTGTGTGTGTGTGTGTGTTGAGGAGGATGAAAGAATGGAAATTGCCTGTTGTGAGAAAAAAAGGTGTTTCAGTTAACGTTTTTGGCCATCTGAGCAACTGGAGAGCAGACACTCTGAAATGACTTTTAAGCAAACACTCCTGCCAAAGACAGAGAAAGTCTATCAGGTTCAGTTTGACATGCATCCCATCCCATTCTACCTTGTGCCATTCGGAGGTCCAGCCACCGTGCTAAATATGATACTTGCACTTTCCAGAAGGGAACTGAAAAAGCTAAACCAGCATTGCCCCATCTTTCCAAACTTGTGGGCGCTTGGTGCATGCGGACAAAGTTTCCTTAGCCCGGATAATCCCATCCTTTCATTTTGTTTCAAGTGGAGGAAGGGATTTATGTGGTCAAGGATTTTTAAAAAGCAATTAATTATAATAACTATGTATAATTAAGCATTTTCTTGAATTCCTGACGATGTTTGTCTGTTTCTTTGCTTATCTATAAAACAGGCCAAACACAGCTCCAAATCCCATTGTTGCTGCATAATGTAAGTAAGCTGTAAGTGTGCAAGCACTGCATGCTGGCTATTGTAGTCCTCCACTTCCCCAAGTCAGGGAAGCAGTCATGTCCTTACTCCTGATGGTGCAGTCAGTGGCAAGTGATGAGGGGGAAACAACTGCTTGACTCGCCCAAATCTATGTTTTTAGCCCCAAACAGATTTTGGGCGTAATGTTTAAGCTCTGAAATATTTGGAGATTTAGTGAAAAGATTTGTTCAGGATCCTGATGAATTTGTTCAGTTAATAATAATTTTAAAAAGGCCAGAAAGGCATATATGGCAGTTAGAGTGAGTTTTGGTGCTTTCGTTAGCCTATGATTTATTTCAGAACTGCTCTCCAGCCTGAGATTCTGTTGCATACCAATGTGTGGGTTTCCTTTTGAAGTATATTTATTTTTGCAGATATTTATTTTTCAAATGGCGGGTAGCTGTTTTCTTACTTGACAGAGAACAGCCAAAAAGAAAAGAAAATCTTCTGTATTGTGAAACTAAATGCAACTATTTTGATTTTCTGTAACCTTTTTCCCAATTAATATACTGAGTCAAGATTTTGTTCAAGATGAATGTTTTTTAATGGTTATTTTCATAATAAAATGAGGCTACCTGACCTGCCACCTGTGCAGCCCTGGGCAAGCTGCAAGTCCTCAAAGAAGCACCAAAACAAAGTATTGATAAATCATTTTGGAGTACTTTATATCTAATTAAATTATATGAGCATTGGAAGTGACTTAACAGCACATAAGGAGTGGTAGCCTAATGTCATAAAGTGTCAGACTAGGACTCAGGAGGCCTGGGTTCAAAATCCCCATCTGAATCTGATACTTCAGTGGTAAATAACGTCTTGAACATCTCATGTGCCCAAACTTGCCTATTAGGGTTGCTGTCAGTCAGAAGCAACTTGAAAAGCATATAATGGCAGCAACAACAAAAAATGTTTTAACTCATGAAATTTCTCAGGCTTGAAAAAAATACTTAGGAAGGAAAAGTGTCCTAGCACCATACAGATTTGTGAAGTAAAAGGAGATGTCATTTCTGGAACACCTTACACTTTTCTTGTCCATATGATATGAAAGGAATCGTGCAGAGGCCCATGATATCCTTCTGAATCTGACAGTGGAAGGAAGATTGAGAGGAAACCATTATCTCATTCTTCCAATTTAGTATTATGCATGTTTGCTGAGAGAAACGTCCCACATAGTTCAATAGCATGTGTTTCCAGATAGATTTGCATAGGGTCATAGCTGGACAAGACCAGGGGGTTGGCTTTCATACATTGACACGACAACCCTGCCAAGACTGCACAACGTCCCTACCAAGGTTTCTTTGAGTACAAGTTGAACACTGATTCAGCTTGGAAACATGAAAAAGGGACAGGCGACATGGGCTTCTTAGTCTCTGAGATGAATGCAGTAGATGCAGGATAAAAAAGGCAAATCATACTAGGATCCAGTTAGCCATTACTGCTGATATGCTGCCTCCTGGCAATTCAGAAGACCCATTGATCAGACTTGAGGTGTGAAGGTATTTAGGCCAAGATCATATTTCCCCAGGATATCCTGCAATTGGCCATAGCAAATGCCCTGCTAGGAAGGGAATAGTCCCAAGCAGGGTGATTATCACCAGCCGCCTCGCTGTTGCTCCTTTGACTGTGGAAAAGCATAAACGGGTATGAGCCTCAGGAGTCTAACCTGGCCAAATGCTCCTTCTGCGTTTTCCCATTCAAGACCAAAACAGGAAAGTTACTCAGTGTCCATTCATGTTAGCCGGAATAGGTTTAGACAAAATTGGAAATGTCCCCATTAAGATTCCCATTAAAAGTCTTAGACGATACTATACACTTTTTTTTCATTCAAATCTTTCTTGGGCTGGACATGGTGCACTCCTGCTCATTGCTGAGTATCAGCCACTTTGCTGTGCCTGAACTACAGCCTTGCTGAAATTGTAGCTAAGATGCAAAGGAAATGCTGCACATTCTCCCTAATTGATGTTCCGCAGTGAGTTTGCCCCCCTTCTCACAGGACTACATCCTACACAAGTTATAGAACTGTGCACTCAGACTCACTTCTGAAATGAAAACAGGTGCTTCATAGATTCAGAACAGTTCCAGTGGTGGCTGGTGCCCCTTTTGGTTGCTGGGGTGGAAGGCTCAGCACCCAATGGAGGGTGGAACAAGGCATTACAGGTGGAGAGCCAGCCTGAAATAATGCTAGTCTTCTGTCACTCTTTCATTCATTTGTTCATTCACTCACTCACACAACAGGAGGGGAAGACAGGCAGAGTTCTGACATTCTGCCTGTAACAAACAGGAAGGCAACAGTGGGCTGGCTGTGGGAAATCCTATCTTCAAAGTTGGTCTTCACCCAAAGCATGAATAACATATCGAATTTCTTTGCAAAAGTGATGATTGCCTCCTTCCTTTAATATATATATTAAAAGAAAAAGAAAATGGTTCTGCCATGATAAGCTTCAAAATTCAGTTACAGGTAACAATTACATTTGTTGCACTAATCTTTTGAACCGTGGGAGGCATGATTGACATGATGCGGTCTAGGAATGTGCCAACTTTGAAACTGATCTAGTAGAACTGCCAACACTTCATTAAGTCGCAGAAATGAAATAAATAAGTCAATGAAACAGTACTTGAAACGGATACATGGACTCATGCAAATCTATTCCAGTTTTTTTCTTTTAGTTGTTCAAGGTGCTGAACCTACTTTGAAGATAGGATTCAGTACCTGAGACAGCTCCTGTGAATTCAGGCTTTGCCCTCCCTTTGGCCATGGTTATAACCTCTAAGACCAGTGCTATGTTCCATTTCTTTGAAAAGTGAATTGCGTGATTGCTCCCAGCAGTGCCTTCTGCATGTGACAGTAGAAGCTGGGGAGAAAAGATAAATTGTTGGGTCTCTGTAGTTCTGTACTTGGGAATTACTTGCCTAAGATCATAACCAGTCCATCACCTTCTGCTCTGACCCTCTTATTGCTGAATGCGAGATCAGTCCATAATAAGTCCCAATTGATTGCCAGTCTGATTCTGGATGAAAGAGTTGACCTGGCATACATAACAGACTGGACTGGCTGCCAATGCATAACAGAGACCTGGGTGGTACAGAGGGAGGGGGAGCTCGCCCTCAGATTTGCCCATCGGGCTATTTCATCCAACATCAGGGCAGATAAGAAGGATGGGGAGGGAGTGTTTCCATTGTATTGAAAAAATTCACCAAAGTTAGCAGAATTGCCACCTTGAACTATCCTGGGTTTGAGTGCCTTCACCTGTCATTGAATTGCGGGAACAGATTCTCTCTACAACCCAGTGCTGTCCCTGCAGAGGCTTGTGGACTTTGTCTCCATTGTGATATTGACACCTGGGTGACTTCAACATACATGTGGAGACTTTGTTCGCTAATCCAGCATCAGATTTCATGGATTCTGTGATATCCCAACAGGTGAGTGGTCTCACACATGTCCAGGGTCATACACTCAACCTATTGTTTCTGGCTGGTTCAGGCAAGGAAGATCTCAGGGTGGGGTGATTAGGTTCTATTCACTCACCCTGTCATGGTCGGATCACCATCTGCTGAAATTTGGCCTGGCAGTGCCAACTCCCCACCTCATGGGGAGATGGGATCAATTAGAATGGTCCATCCACAGAGGCCGTTAGATCCAGTTCAATTCCAAGATGCTTTGGGTGGGTTTCCAGAGAAGTTGGTTGGTGACGGTGTTGAAGCCCAAGTTGCTGAATGGTACTTGGTGGAGACTTGGACATTTGACTCCATTACACATAAATGTCTTCTCCATCTCACTGCTCACTCCTCTTGTTGTTTTATGCAAGACCTGCAAGCCATGAAACAAGCTAGGAGAAGATTAGAGAGCATTTGGAGAAAAAGCTCCCTTGGTTACTAACAGGGCTGCAGTAAAGAAGATGTCCAGCAGGTATTGTAATGGCATTCAGGCTAAGAAGGAAGCATACAACACCAGGAATATCGATGAGGTGGAGATCTGTAGGGTCCTTCCATGACCTCACCAATGCTGGACAGCATCCAGGGCCTCAACTGGACGTCATTACCTGAGGACAGTTCAAACTCCACTTTTGTATGAAGAGTGAGGCTATCCATAGGGACATTGACTCTATTGGAGCAATGAGTCGCGTTGAGATCTCCAACACACCATCTTGTCTGGTTATACTGGATCAGTTTTGATCAGTGATGCCTGATGATGCTGACAAGGTGCTTTAAGGCCACCACTCCTGGTCACATCCATGACCTTCCTTAATTCTAAAATTGACCAGGAAGGCGATGGTTGAATGGGCCATCCAGATCATGAACTCCTTTTTGAAGGAGGGAGGTATGTCCTACTCCATGAAAGAGAGCACGATATGGCTCATTCTCAGAAAAGTTTTCTGCCAAATGATTTAAACAACCATTGTCCTCTTGCTAACATACTGTTCATGGATAACCTGATTAAGAGGATGTTGGCTAACCAACTGCAGGCATTCTTAAAGAACACTGATAGTCTGGATCCATTTCAATCAGGGTTCAGGCTGTGCCATGGGACTGACAGCCCTGGTTGTCTTGCTAGATAATCTGTTATGGGAAGCTGATGGGGGAGTGTGACCCTGTTAGTACTCCTGGACCTCTAGGTGGCCTTTGAGACCGTTGACCATCGTATCCTCCTGGACTGGTTGCCAATCCTGGGATTGGGGCACAGCATTACACTGGCTTCGTTCCTATCTCTCCTTTTCCTTGCAGTTTTGAACTGGATGAGGTCTTACAGGATGAAGTTGAATCCCATCAAGATGGAGCTCATACTGTTAGTAGAGGTCTCTGATCAGTCAGGGGGACTTATGTCTGGTCTAGATGGGACCACCCTTCCCCTGAAGACGCAGATTCATAATCTGAGTGTGCTTCTGGACCTGGTCCTCTCAATGGAGAATCAGATCTCATCCATATCCAGGTCAATCTTTTTTTCCCCCAGCTTAGGCAGATTGTACCCCTTCCTCCCCATCTCAACAGGAAGTCCCTAATAACACTGGCCCATCCATTGGTAATCTTGAGGATTGACTATTACAATCCTCTCTACCAGGTTAGTCACAGATGCATTGAACTTTGGCTATGTTTTCCCTGTGCTGGCCCGTTTGCACTGCCTTCCGGGCCAAATTCAAGATGCTGATGTTAACTTACAAAGCCCTATACGATTTAGGACCTTGCTACTTAACAGAGTGCCCCTCCCTCAGGTTGACCTCCCATTCTACCTGCACACTCCAATCCTTGATGTTGTGTGTGGCCATTTCAAAGAGAGGTCTGGAAATGGCCAATCAGAAACTGGGCTTTCTCTGTACTGCCCACCTGGCTATGGAACTCTCTTCTGGTGGAAGTGTGATAAGCCCCTACCCTCATTCGCTTTAGGAAACAAATTAAAACCAGGCTTTTTACGTAGGCCTTTTGAAAGTGTCACTCCAACTTAATTTCATTTTTTGTTGTTGTTTCTCCGTGACAGCTCTATGTTAATTGTTACTGTTTAGTTGTTTAATCAGTTGCTTTTATTTCCATCATCCTG